AGCTCTATTCCAAGATTGCCTTTGTGATTCTCGGAAGATGGACATTGCAACATGCTTCTTGCGATCTCGAAAACAACAGGTGATCACACCAATATCATAGTCATAACCTCCTGTTCACAATTACACCCTGCACCACAGCAAGAGTTTCTCTACGCTGAAAAGCCAGATGTGCTGGGTGAAGTGCCACTACTGCGACCGCTTCAGAAGAAAATTTAAAACTTGAGGTACCATTTGGCTTAGCGTGATGATTGGGCAGGGCTGAAAAGATCTGCCGAGGAAAGCTTCCGCAATGCAGGTATCCATATTCGTCGAGTTGAAGCATGAAATAGTGAACCTGGGACTCATTGGTTTTGAACGTAGCCGTATATTTCAGAACTACCTTCCAAAAGCAATTAGGGAAGTGATTCTTGCTTTGAGAGACAATAACTTGCTTATGAGAAACGTTTGTCTCTGACACATCTGAACATCGGTCGTTCTCACTCGGCTGATCTGCTCTGAAGATGTTGACCGTTCACAATCATTGGTGCTCCCGCTGCGACGTTCGCATGGTCGCATGGTCGAGCCCTGCCTGTTCTAAATTGCCGGTTTTCGGCTGCTATGAGTGTACAATAGGCAACTTTCTCCTGTAGGTTTTTTTTCTCATGCAGAGGGGGAGAATATTGACTTCACAGTCATGCCGTCATTGGTGCCAATAACATTTTACCACATGCTTCGTTATTTGAGGCGGGTAATTCATCAGAGTTGTTGATTGGCCCATACCGGTAAAGCACCTTTGCTTTGATTAAAATAAAAGTGCCGTCTTTCTCCCATAAGAGCACATTAGCTTTTCTTTGAAAAAAATATCGAGATACCCACGTCCTGCGCTGCATTACGATATAATCAATACATTTTAGGTGCGTATGACCAATTCAACAAAACACATGTCGCAAATGTAATTCACTACCGAAATGCATATACTAATAGACTTCTAAAAGATAGTATCATAATAGCCTTCTGTGGCACTACTGCCCATTTATGCCATTGGGTGTCTTGTTCTCGGTTTGCCGGAATTAACGGCAATGAATGCCTACGCCGTGGTCACTCAAGAAATGGTGGTGGCCGTAAAGCATCGACTTATGGATGAGGGTTCGAGCAGCTGCAACGTTGCCCTTTAACGTCCGCGTTTTCACTAGTTCTTCGACAGCCTGAGCAGTTTGCAGTCCCATACATTTTAGTTTATAGTCGCTTGCAAATGGCTCCATATAAGCGCCGGAAAATTTGTCTCTCGCACTCGGCTCCCACTTATGCAGCAGGCGCAACGAAACTTCTTTGACGTCGGCCATATGGTGAAGGCTCGTCGTATGCTAGCTTCATAGCTACTATCCAGCTTTTACAAGGTAGAGTTTTGAAACACCTACTATGAAGTCAGCGGCTCCAAGCTACATTCTATAAAGTTCTCAAATTGGTAAGTACCCTGTTGATCACCCTTCTTCTCTTTGCGTATTTACCACCATTTCGCAGTGTTCTGTAAATGAGTGGTAGTCGTTCTCTTTATGCGCGCAAGCCACCACAATGAATTTACGGATGCAATCTCATTATTTATATATTCTTTGTTATAAAGTTCTTGCAATTGATAACACCATGCTCTCAAGTGGCATATTTCTCTCGTGTGTTAAACGACCCTCCTACTTAAGTAATCAGGCTATGCAAACTCAGATTTGTCATTTGCGCCAAAATTAGAAGCCACCTAATGTTGTCAGTATGTCAGCATCAGAATAATTGTAGCAGCCCACTCAACGTGGCATATTTCTTCGAAGCTTCAGAAAATAGGTTGCATTCTGTTACATAACATTGCCACAATTCATTGGGAAAAAAGAGAAGTATCTATCAAATAAATTCTTCGTGTGTACGTCAAGGACTCACAGCGCTTTATATATGAGTATTTATATAGGCATACTTACTTTTCCATTAGAACTTGTTGACTTTTCTACTAACATTGCCAGACATATCGTGGTGAAGTTAAGAAAAAGAGAGTGGCATTTATAGCTCATATCTAGGCAATAGGGTATTCTGAGACCAGCTAACGGAAACCTCTTTTGCGACACTTGCTAAATAAATTTATCAAGCATTACCGAACTACGTCATTGATGCATAATTTGCACCTGTGCATTGTAACAGGCTGGAACACAATAGTTAAGGCTAATTTTTTTGCCTTACGATGAACTGCCTCTCTCTCTTTCTGACTGACACAAGAGCATTAGCTTTGTCATCACTAATGTAGATCGCTCATGACGTAAATGGTGATGGTATACGCTCCCGAAATAGCACTTTGAAGGTTGCCTGGTTTTCAGTGAATGAGTGGCTGAAAGCAGCAGATATGTTGTGATTCTCATAATTTTTCTGATATAATCATCAATCATCTTTTTCAATAATTATTACGCTGTCAATCGAAATGCATTGTAAACGAAATATCTCTGTATTCAATGACACCAGCAAGTGTGGGGGAAAACATTCAATTAGGGTGATGAAGCCATATACTACTGCATTGTAGATTGCAAATATAATATGTGAAAACATAAAAGACTATTGCATAGTACATTGTATGCTTTGTTATTACTAGATAAACGGATAATGAAAGGTTTGATGCAATACGATAGTTTTTTTATGGAAAAGTGGCCATGGTATACTAAGAAACGTTATGTTCTAACTAAAGGTGAGAGGTCAACGATAAAAATAATATACACTAGGCGCGCAGCGTGAGCATCATGAAAAGTTTCATACAGACTGTGCGTTGTATGTATTGAAAGACCTATACTTGTAGATAGTACTTCATCATCCATGACATGTGAGAATCGTTCAATGTGGCGTCGCTGACGCAGCTGGCAGTGTTGCGAAGTAGAAAAGTGAATGACTATAAAAATGGCCAAATGAGCGCCACAGTAAAGTAAGCAAACCAAATATCAAAAAGCAAACAGGTTAACTGGCCTTGCAAAAATAATAAATATAGCTATCATTGAAAAATGAAAAATTTCCAGAATGGATTCTTACAACATTAGGACCACGTGAAAGTATGAAATGTTTTTGAGGTGGGTATCGGGTTTCTAAGCTCGCGGCGGCATCAGCGCGAAGCTGATACACGAAGCAAAGAGGGCTACGGTGAGTTAAAGGAACAGTGATGCACGGTATAAACAGAGGCATTACATATTCGGCACTATGGTCGACAGCTTAATTGTGTCCCACTGAGGTGCGATGATGACCCGGGATTCATTCGGTAACTCTCTCTTCGCGCAGGTTTGTTCATTTTATAGCCCTTGGGTATCCCTTATGAGGCAGTAGTACATTGAAGCCTCCAACCAGGAACCGCCGCAGGTCACTGCTTGGAATCGAACCCGTGGGTGAGGAACTTGCCACGCGTTGCTTGAGGATTTGCCGTTGGTTACGTCAGGCGCACCACAAGATATCCTACTACCTCCTTGGTTGACTCCCGTTACATCACACAGCTCGCTGGTTGTATCAGACAGCCTATTGATGTTGACGCTACTTGCATCGGACGATACCAACTTGAATACTTTGCCGGAGCAATGAATTTTGTGTTGGACTCCCAGGCTTAACAGTAGAAATCATTCGCTTAGCTGTTGCGTGGTTGCTGCTTGTCGGATGTGGGTGGTTCTGCCTTTCTTGTCCAGTCCAAAGCACATGACGACTGACTAGAGCACAGTAATAAGCTTTATATGCAAAATAACATACACTAAGGCTGAAGCACCTTAATCTGGCAATCTCTGTACACAGCCACTCAAACTATTTCAAAGGTATTCTCGATAGCCATAAAACACAGAACCTTTGGTCAAGCGTTCTAATGAGATTCAAACTCATTATTTTTTCAAGTTATTGTGGCTTGCACGGGTCATGTGCGTCGAAAGAACCTTTATTGAACGATAGCGCTCTCATATATACATTCTATGCCGAGGGGCGTTGCCGCCAATCTAGCGCACGTGTGCATGACTGTCACATCTCCCTTCTTAAAACAAACAAAAAGACTAAAGTTCCGGCATGGGGTATCTTTGCGGTGGCCGGCGATTGCGTTCGCTTCTGCGTAGTTGTGGCTCGGCGGGGCCCACGTCAGCTTGATGTTCTTGTGTGGGGGGCACCAGTGGAGTGGGGGCCAGACGGAGATGTTCTCTGGTGCGCTGCAACTGGAGTCCATCTTCGGTCTCAACAATGTAGGCTCTCGGACTGTTGGCAGGCTTGACAACCGTAGCAGGGACCAGGTCTTTGATGGTACGTTGTACACTGTGACGCGGGAGCCCTCAGGAAGTCCTGGTAGCGGCCTTGTACCCCTGTTGTAGAAGGAACGTTGTCTACTTCTGATGACGTGGAGCCGCCGTTGAACCTCCTCTGGCGGTATGGTCTGCGGTCGCAGGTGGGTTTCCGTGACTGGCAGCAGCGTCCTCGCATTTCGGCCCATGAGTCTCTGCATTGGAGATTTCAAATAGGAATCGCGAGGAGTGTTTCTCCATTCAAGCAATGCAGCACAAAAATCCACTGTGCCGTACCGATACCTCTTCAGCAATTTTTTGGCTTCTTGCACCGCACGTTCAGCCATTCCGTTTGATCGAGGGTGATAGGGGCTGGAGCGAACATGGTGCAAGCTAATCTTACCGACAAATTCACGAAAGTCCTGGCTGCTGAATGGCGGTCCATTGTCCGTGCATAGGCGCTGCGGGAAGCCATGAGTGGCGAATATGTCTGCGAAGGCAGCAATCACCTTGTCGGCTGTCGTCTTCACGGGCCTGATTTCGAAAAAAGAAAGAATAAAAGTCAACAACCACCAAGTACTCGGTAGCATTGTGATAGCATATGTCGGCTCCCACAACTTCCCAGGGTAGGCTAGGAATTCATGGTTCATCAATGGCAAGCGCAGATTTCGTGGCTTGTGCTTTGGCAGGTCTCACAGCGTCGAGCAACTTCCTCTAGATCGCTGTTTATAGAAGGCCAAAAAAGTACAGCTCGAGCACGTGCTTTCATTTTTCTGCTCCCCCATGCGCTGCATGAAGGCAGGCAAGAACTTCGCTGCGCATCTTGGCCGGAATGATGAGGCGGTTGCTCCTGAATACTAGGCCATCTTGCGTATGCAGCTCGTCGCGGAAGCTCCAGTAGCATCGTAGCTCGCTGCTGACGTCAGCTTTGCTCTCCGGCCACTGACTGCTTGCGTACTGTCGAAGTTTCACCATCACAGGGTCCTGGTCGGTCTCTTGTAGAACTTGGCTCAGCCGTCTGTCTGAAACCTGCAGGCAAGCAATGGTGTTCAACTGATAATTCAGGCACTGTTCTTTCAATATTGCTTGGCTCGGGGACCGTGATAAAGCGTCAGCAACAAACAGCTGTTTTCCAGGTGTGTATTTGACGACTATCGGGTACCTCTGCAAGCTGAGGCGCATGCGCTGAAGCCTTAGAGGACATTGGCATAACGGCTTCTTAAATATAATTTCTAGTGGCTTGTGATCGGATTCTACCACAACTTCAGGCTGCCCGAAAAGATAGTCGCGGAATCTTTCACAGCCGTGGACAATTGCCAGCATCTCCTTTTCGATCTGGGCATACCTTTGCTGTGTTTCTGTCAAGGAACGCGACGAATACGCTAGTGGATGCCCGTCCTGTATGATCACTGCGCCAACTCCGTTCTGACTGGCATCTACCGACAGCCTGATTGGTTTCCCCTTCTCGTAGTAGCTTAGTACAGGGGCTGTCGCAAGCGCTTCCTTCAGAGCCTTGAAGCTTGCATCTTGGCGGTCCTCCCAAAGCCACGCGACATTCTTCTTTAGTAATTCTCGAAGTGGTGCTGTTAGGTCCGACATATTCGGAATAAAGCGAGAGACAAAATTTACCATGCCCAGGAACGTCTGCAGCTCTTTCTGGTTGCTTGGCGTCTGGACTTGCAAGATGTCTTCTAGCCGCTGTGGATCCAGGCTCAGGCCGTCGCGCGTCAAAATGTGTCCCAAGTACCGGACGGACTCCTGTAAAAAACGGCATTTCTTTCTGTTCAATTTCAGTTTGTACTCTCGGCAACGTCGTAGGACGTGTTCAAGGTTTGCATCATGCTGCTCTCTTGATCGGCCCCACACTAGAATGTCGTCCATGACAACCGCTACGCCTTCGAGGCCTTCTAGCACGCGGTGCATGGCCCGCTGAAATATTTCCGGCGCCGACGAGATTCCAAAGGGCATGCGCAAAAATCTATAACGGCCGTATGGAGTGCACATAGTGCAAATCTTAGAGCTTTCGTTATCCAGCTTGATTTGCCAGAAACCGGAGGCTGCGTCCAAAGTTGTAAAGTACTGGGCCCCACTTATCGAAGGTGCTATGTCTTCCAATGTTGGCATTGGATAGTGCTCGCGAAGCAGAGCTTTGTTTAGGTCGGAAGGATCAAGACAAATGCGTACCTTCTCTCCTTTTGTAACAACGACCATGTTGCTGGCCCACTCTGTCGGCTCGGTCACTTTCACGATGACTCCAGCAGTCTCCATGCGGTCGAGCTCAGCTTTCACCTTGCTTTGCAATGCTATTGGAATCCGCCGTGCTGGTTTCACTACTCCCTGGGACCCGGGCTTGAGCTTTAGATGGTAGACAATACCCTCCAGTTGACCCAGACCTTCAAACACGTCTTCGTAAGGCTTGGCAGTGCCGTAAAGCTCTATTTGGTCGACAGAGCAGACACGTTGGAGCAAGCCAAGCTCTTCGGCAACTGTACCGCTCAAGGTCACGGCGATTTCGTCATCCACGACGAAAAACTCTGTCAGAATCTTGCTTTCTCTCGTTGCCACTTCAAGACGAACTTGTTTCGTCACTTTTTTCTGGAAGCCAAAAAATGTGTTTAAAACAACGTTGCAATCAAGTGGCTGCTTGTTTGTTATTTTCTGCAGCTGGCTGCGTGCTATAACCGAGCATGTTGCGCCTGTGTCTAACTTGCAAAAATAGGCTTTCCTTCTATCTCAACGGTAGCCGTCCAGCGGTCGTCTTTCCCACGGCATGCGATAGCGTTTCTAACCAGAAATCGCCTTCTTCTGCATCGACAGATGCTACTGCGTGCTCTTTCGAATGAAATCTTTTTTGCATCTTCTTGCAGGCTATCGCAAAGTGATTTCTGCCACCGCATTTCCTGCACGTGCGTCCCTTTGCTGGGCACACACGGTCGGTCTGATGAACCTTTGCGCACTTTGTACAACGCTGACCTTTCGCTTCAGATAGCGCGTTCATCTCGGCTGCGTAATCGCTTTTCGGGCGCGCCTGTATCTCTTCACACTGTTCTTTGCCATGTTCACGAGAGCGACACATTTCTACGGTCTTCGTGAAAGAAGCATTTTCGGAGATTAGCTTTTCTTGCAGCTTTTTATCTCTAATTCCGAGAATAATACGGCTTCTCAGCATACGCTCTTCAAGCTGCCCAAACTCGCAGCTTTTTGCTAGCACTCTGAGGTCTGTCAGCCAGTCATTGAAACTTTCACCGTCCTTTTGGTCGCACTTTCCAAAGCGGAACTCATGGTAGGCTAAGTTTAGAGCTGGTTTGTAAAATGCCTCAAACTTCATTTTCAGTACTTCTACGTCCGACTTCTCTTCGTCAGTTGCAAAATCAAGAGTGCTGTACGTCTTGCGTGCGTCCTCTCCGATAATCATAAGAAAGGTGGCTGCCTGTACCTCTTTCGGTTGCTGGTTCAGGTATGTTGCCGTTGCGAAGAGCTCGAACTCTTGCCGCCATGTCTTCCAGCTTCGCCATACGTCTCCTGTGGTGTCCAGGGCTTTCGGCGGTGGCAATAGCGTGGTGACTGGTCCGCTGGCCTGCTGGCGCTGTTCCCCGTTCTGCATGCTTGTAGCTGGTTGGGACCTTCGAGCCGCCCCTGTTGGCTTGCTACGCGTCCGCTGTTCGTTCGCCGGCTGCGTGCATCGGCTGCGGTCCGACCACTTCTGACACCATGTGGCTTGCACGGGTCATGTGCGTCGAAAGAACCTTTATTGAACGATAGCGCTCTCATATATACATTCTATGCCGAGGGGCGTTGCCGCCAATCTAGCGCACGTGTGCATGACTGTCACAGTTATCTGGGCCTAATCCTGATCCCACTTGAGAAATTTACACTCAACCGAAGTCATGTTTTGCGACCTGTGACATCAGGGCAGGTAATACGACGGACGACGTCAATCCATATAATTGACGTGTTCTCATCTTAAGCGAGATGAGAACACGTGTGAGATCAAATGATTTTCCGAAACCTATTCATTTTAGGTACTTTTTGGAACACAAGGAATTTCACTCTAACCGAAAGAAAATGTTGTGTCAACCTACACAGGCCCCGCCAACGTGCCAAGATTGGTGAATGAACCTTGGAGCTTCATTTTTTTGGGATAATATTGCCAGAAAATATAAGGACTCATATGCTAACGAGGGCACACGTATACTTTATTCGGGTCACCGCACACATGAAAGAATTTATAGTCCCAATGGCCACAAATAAACTAATTTTAATATGGTTGGTAATAGTATAATAGTATTCTTACTGCTTCTAATACTCTTCATAATATTAGTATTGTATGTTTTGCATATTTTATGACGGTACTGCGACATCAGTGTAATAAAGCAGTATGTACCATTCAGTATGATTGCTATCAATATCATAATAATATGATGGTTATGAGTGATGCTTTATGGCGCAAGGGTCATTTCACGGCCAAGGAGCGCCATGTCAAAGCCTGAGATGTGAACAATGAATGTGTTGGGTGGCTGTATAAGGGCAATAAAACTCCTTTCGCTAAGACGGGCAAAACATAGAAGTAATAAAACATGGCAGTGACGTGAAATGTATTGTGGGAACGGGTGGTTAAGGGTTCTGATAATAAAGCACGGTGGAGATACTTGACACTATCACAAGTGCCTGATCTGTGCCAATGTTTCCAAGGGGCGCGAAGCCGGTGCTTCTCTATATAGCCACCTCATCAGCAACCTTTCTTATGAGGTCGTGCTACGCAATGGCTTCGTATAACACAATAAATATGAGGACATCTCTTCAAAATGACCCAAGATTTATGAGTTGAAAGTGTTTCCTGCCGATGAACATAGCCGGATGAAGTGGTATCCGTTTTCGGTAGAGTAATGAAAAGTGCTGTTTTCTTAGAGTGTCCAAGTGTTTACACTGGAATAAAATGTGAAGCACCGTTAGAGCTTCACTACATCTGTCACACATTGCTGGATCCTCACCAGACAAAAGGTATGAGTGTGTCATCTAAGTGTGCCCTATCCTGAGCCTTCTTAGTTTGTAGTGCACAAGCACGCCCAGGATAGTGGTGGATTCCACCACTATCCTGAGCTTGGATCCCACCACTAGTGGTGGATCCCAAGCTCTCCTCAAAACGCTAGGCCAAAAATATCTCCCACTAGAAAGCAAATCAGTAGCCTGGGAAAACAAAATCCCTCATATGGAGGTCGACCGCAAGAAAAGCTAGACGAACCATTCAGCGAAGCTGCAATACGGTATGCTCTACAACAACTCAATGGCAGATCGGCGCCAGGACCAAATGGAATCGACAATAAACTGCTACAGAATCTGCACGATAAAGCAATTGTAATCATTACTAAGAAGATAAATGAGGCATGGGAAACGGGTACCGTGCCCAAAGAATGGCGTAGTGCCAAGGTTTCGCTCATCCCGAAACCTGAAAAACCGCTGAGCATCGAAAACTTAAGGCCCATATCACTCACATCTTGCGTTGGAAAATTAGCTGAGTATGCAATACTCAACAGTATCACGGACCACTTTGAGAGCAATGGGCTCTTTCGACACAACACTATTGGCTTCCGCAGGGCACTGTCCACACAGGACGCCATGTTGATGTTAGGAGGACACATATGTTACGACCTCCTTCACACGCCCAAAGCCATATTAGCCCTGGACCTCGCCAAGGCCTTTGACACCGTAAAACATGAACACATACTGGGTGAAATATCGCACATGAACCTAGGCGAAATATTCTACGACTACATTAAAGGCTTTCTGGCGAACCAAACCGCAACCATACGCATAGGAGTGCAATGCGGCGAACCCGAACGACTCGGAAATATCGGCTTACCACAAGGGTCAGTGCTCTCGCCATTGATCTTTAATGTGGCGATGCACAGGTTGTCAGAGAAGCTCGCTCAAATCCCATCCGTGCACCATGCCATATACGCGGATGATATTACCATATGGGTCGCATGTGGCCATTCATATGGTGCCTTGAAAGGAATTCTTCAACAAGCACTGACTACAACTGAAATGAAAAATTTCTTAAGCCAACTGGACTCGCACTGTCCCCCACTAAATCTTATTTAACGCTCTTTCACCCTAGACGAAATTCGGGCGAAGAGGAGCAGCAAGTAGTGCTCAAAGCAAGTAGTGCACAACCAAACGATACCGCAAGTATATACGGTCAAAGTACTTGGGCTAACGTTAAGCGTCAATGAGGGCCACAACAAAGAAGCACTCAAGTGCCTTGAAAAAAGCACGAAGAATTTTTCAAGAGGCGTTGCTAGAATCGCCAACAAGCGAGCAGGCCTCCCAGAAGACAATATCATGAATGCGTATCACGCCTTTCTCGTAAGCCACGTAGCATACGTGTTCCCTTTTCTGAAACTTACGAAAGCTGAAATCAAAAATATCGACTCCATGCTCCGCAAGGGACTGAAAACGACACTCGACTTGCCCAATAGCACGAGCAACGAGAAATTCGAGCATCTTGGTCTGCACAACACAGCCGAAGAAATTTTTGAGGCTCAGAGAGTAGCACAGATCACACGCATGTCGTTGACGTTGGCAGGCCATCTCATCCTACGAGACGCAGGCATTTGCCCAATTTTTCAACCAGAGAAAAAAACACAACATGGTAATGACGTGAGGAAGCACATTAGGGTTGAGCCAATCTCCCGCAACATTCACCCTACGTTCATCAAAGGGCAAAGAAAAGACAGCGAGGGCGCTCTTAAACAAGGCGAAAAAACACAACACGCACGCGCTATTCGTAGATGCCGCCTGCTACTATGACAGGGAGGCGTTTGCCATAGCGGTCGCTGATATAGAAGGAAACCTCATAAACGCGGCAACCGCCTAAACAAGCCATGTCCACGAAGCAGAGAAAATGGTGATCGCGCTAGCCTTGCAAAGCTGCCAAGCCTACTCCTCAATATACACAGACTTTAAGACGGCGGCACGAACTTTCGCGGCTGGCCTAGTAGCTAGAAGCACTAGAAAACTCACCGTCAATGCAATAAGAGAGTACGATAGCAAAGAAATCCTTGTTAAGAAAGAGAAAGCTCAAATCTACGTATCCTGGTCCCCAGCCCACATGGGACAGTTACCGGGACTCGACCACTGCAATCCAAACGAAGAGGTCAACCGCCTGTCGCGTGAGCTCACACGCTGCGCCGCGGACAACGAACCCTCGACGGGTGAGCGGTACGAGAATCTCTGCAGCCAGGACAAAGCACTCACATACCACGTGATCACTTCACATTACCGGGGACAAAGACGTGCCTGAGCAGCACCGCACCCAAAACTTAAGAAAGCACAAGCTCTAACTCTCAGAAGATTGCAAACACGTACGTACATAACACCTTCCACCTTACACAGAGTCGACCCCGACACACCATCCACATGCTCCCTTTGCAACCATCCCTATTGCAATTTGGAACACATGCTCTGGCTGTGCCCTACCCATAGCGCAGCACAACTGAATACGCAAGAGGCTTGGCAGGAAGCCCTCAAAAGCAATCAATACAAGCTGCAACTAAAGGCTGTCCAGAGGGCCCGGGACATCGCTACAAGCCTTCGGCTGCAAGCGCCATCCTAGGCGGAGCCTCCAGGTTGAATTAAGGGTTAGAATGGCCCTTACTCAGGCTCCTCAGGATATGTTTATTTAAACTCAATCTCTCTCTCTTAGTCTTACCTCTGTACGACGTGATTTCGATAATGGCTGCCAATTGCGAAGGTGTGGTTTAATAACACGTAGTTTGTTTTGTGCGTGCCTATCTCAGTTCCTCTGCCCGTTATCCCTGAGGTTTCGTTTGAGGGACGGTTTAGGTCAAGGGCCGCGATAGATATGGCTGCAGTGGCAGTGCTTTCATGGACGGATGCTGCAGGCTGATCCGCCTTCACGTTGTTTTCGATCCTATGGTGCCCTGGAACCCAGCACACTATGACAAACTGTTTGATTGTGTAGAGTGTGAATAAAATAGAGTTAGGTGAGGCAATGACAGCGCTTCTTTTTTGTTTTTAAAGAGTTTGCACAGCTTTTACGACATTGAGGGAGGCCGTGTAAATGACTGCTTTTTTCTGGATTGAATTGTTTATTGCGTTTAGTAGCCATATGTATTACGTAAGCTTTTGCTGTAAGTATTTTTGTACCTAGTTGTAGAGTGCCAGCGTCTAAAAAGGATGACCCAACAGCAGCGTAAGACGCAGAATATTTAGAGGCAATTGTAAGTACTTGAACATGTGTATTCGTGTTCAAGTTCCAGGAAGTATGCTTGGATGTGGGCATGGGTGCTTGTTTTCAAACTTCTTGGAAAAACACATCACAATGTAGGATCGGCCCCTGTCCCGGTAGCAGGTATGCCACAGGAGCCACTAGGCTGTGTTCAAGTGACATACCAGTCACCTCAGTGAGACCAAGCAGGCGAACTGAATAGGGCTGCATCAACGAAGGTCTGTTTTGAAACAGAGTGGAGTTCGACAAATCATTATTATTGAAATATGAGGATTGCTTCTTGTCAGCGTTCACCTTGAGGAAATATACAAAGCACATGTAACATCTCTGCAGGTGAATCGATCACTCATTTG